TGATGACAAAAGTACAATGGCAAAAAGAATTAAAAAGAACGGACAAGCAAATCGGTCAAAATTAGACCGCCAGGTGACCTTCAATAGTAATTACAAAGTAACATATTTTAAGTCTTAACGTAGCATCAATAGTATGTTTTTTCTTTAATCATATCTTGAGCTTGTGACGTAGTAGTGCGACGAAAGAGGTTGGTGGTTCAGTCCCCGATCAAATCAAATATTTTCAACATAAATGTTTTTGCCTTAGTTGTATAACACGTGCGTGGTTTAAAAGAACTATAGAACTCTTTGTACAAAAGCTACGTATAGTTGGAATCGACGACTTAAAATATGTACCTGAATATTATCAGTATTATTCTTCACTTGATAGAGAAGCATTCCTGCTAATTTAATTAATATACAATCTGTTCCTCGACGTTTAAACACCAATGATTGATTTACACGCCAATTCACTGTACTTATGCCAAAACACGTGCGCAGGCGGTACGCAAAACAATTTCTGTTTTTCTACAGCTTCTGAACGCCGACTAGCCTTGGATAATGGTCAGTCAAATGCTAAATTATTATGTAATAAAACCCAGCCGTTTGTAACATTCTCCGACAGGAAAGTGCGACTCGACATGTGATAATTTCAATGTCAGGGTTACACATAAACATTATTTTGTTATTCTTTATATTTATCTTGTTATCAAAAGAATTGTAAAATATGTTCTCTTGTGGTTTTTAAATGGGAACAAAAAATATAATCTTTTTAATATTATATTTAATATATATACGTGACGAAAATTCTTTGTACTTAACCGATTTTTTGAGCAAAATTTCGGGCCTAGAGGATTTTTTTATTTTTCGTGTTTTTATTATTGTTGTATCGTGTATTTGTGTGTATAAAACTTATATTTTTCTTCAAAAGGATACTTTTTGATAATTTTTTTGATAAAAACGATTTAAATATTTGCTTAGCCATTCGACACGCATAGTTTAAGTTTTTTTTTGCAAATTGGCACCCAATTGCTTGTGTACTCAAACCACTGCCAAAAAATGTTTTAGTGTTTTAAGGTAATCAATGTCATCGGACCATGACCATTCAACAAATATCTTAACTCATGTGATAAATGCGAAAGTGACATTGTTTGTTTATTTGTTTTGTACGCTTTAACCACTCAACCGATCATCACAAGGCAGCAGAAGGATCCCTACCCACTAGAGATACAGGCTGGTCTTAAAATTTAAGCGGTTTATGAAATATAGCAACATTAAGGATGCGTTTAAATTCGCCAAGAATTACAATCCAGAAAGGATACCTGCGAGAACAAATACGCGTAGTTTCTGAAGGTGCTATCTATACTAATATTATAAATCTGAAGAGTTTGTTTGTTTGTTTGTTTGAACGCGGTAATCTCAGGAACTACTGGTCCGATTTTTCAGTGTTAGATAGCCCATTTATCGAGGAAGGCTAGAGGCTATATATCATCACACTAAGACCAATAGGAGCGGAGCACCAATGAAGAATGTTTCGAAAACGGAGAAAATTTATTACTATTGAGAGACGCAGACGAAGTTGCGCGGGTCAGCTAGTCTTTTATATGAACGTCATTCTTAATTAAGCTCTTAACATTGAATAAAATTCTGCTCTACTCCATCTCTTACCAAAATATCTCGATATTTATTATTTAAAATGAAAATAGCTGCCTCTATAAACAGGTGGATCAATAGAGCACTGCTCGTACTGCAAATACCAAAGCAGGTAAAATTAATGTGCAACTTATAAGTAATTTAGAAGTATTCATGTCTGGAAACTTGCATTGAAAATTTCCAAAGCTGTGTTCTAATCTCCAAAGCTTACGAAGACAGATTGGCACGGATAACAACCCAAAATTTACTGTATTTTTTGTTCTAGAAAAATCATACAAACATTTATTTTATCAGGGAAATATATACAAAACAACACTTTACATACCATATACATATAGGGTAATATATCAATTGTTTTTATTTACATTTAAATAGCACGAAGCGTACTTAATGCCACATGGCATTATCTACCATCCGGCATTTGGAAGATTCATTGAGGGATATGGTAGGTGTATCAAAATAAAATTATTTTAAGAATGTACAAACATATATATTTTTTTAAAGATAACTCCCGCACTCAGAATAAATCCTGTGTCGCGGGGGACTTTACATACATTAAACGGACACAAAGGACGTCCAAACTCAGAACAACAATTTGTGGATCACACAAAGTGTTGTCCCATGTAGGGATCGAACCCACAATACCCAGCGCAGTGGGAAGCGGCGTGGCGACCGCTTAAACCACTACGTCATCTGTGCAGAATATATGTATGTACATACACATACAAATACACTTTAAAGTACAATTGTGTCTACAATTATATGAATGTTTGCAAAGTCCGTCTCCCGCGACACAGGTTGTATAGCGGAAGTTGTCTTTTAAAAAAAACAAAAATATAATACCAAAAGAAACTGTTACGTAATTTGTTAACTAACAACATTTAAGAGTAACGATATTAAAATTTGACATTTGTAAAATTACGTGGCATGGCTGGCATAACACGTTGGCTAAATTATGTCAAATGCTATGAACGCATATTGTGTATCTAGCGTATTATACGCTATAATGACATTTACCTAAATTATATTGTTTGTTAACATAAATATATAACACTTCGCTTGACACGTGTCCAATTTTATTTTTACACCACAACTCAAATTATCAACATCTTGCCTCAACAAGTGGCTTCCTGCTATCATTTATTATATTCAAAGAGAGTTTAAAATTAAATAAAAGCGGCAACGTTTTCCGGCCTATTTTCTTTATGGCAACATTGAACGTTGTAAGTGACTGTTGATGAGTATTTATCAAACATTTTACGATGCTGACTTAAGGTTATTATTATTTTATATCGTTTTAGGGAATTTATAGTTTTGACAATGGCATATAAATGTACATTTTAATAATGTTGATGTAGGTTAAAATAATTTTAGTATGTGTACAAACAAGTTGACACACCGTTTTTAATCAATTTATCGCTTTTAATTTGTAGTCTTATCATTTTTATCAACATTAATCATTACAATCGCCAATTTTTATAACTACTTATTGCATTTTTGTTCTATGTGCTGGCAGCGCTGCACATACCGTGACACATTATTTATATAATTCTCGGTGAACACGTTAATAAGTTTGTGTGATATTTGAAAGGTTAACAGAGAGAAATAAAATATTTATAGTTATGTTCGAGAAAGAGGTGAGTTTTGAATCGCTAATAAAATCCAATAGTCGAAGCTCGATTACCACTAATTATTTGTTAAATTATATTATTGAAGCTATTCTCTAGTACATGCTGAACTGTCTTTAATAGAATCAAATGTACGATTCCTTATTATAATCGCTTGGTATTTACTTATCTTATGACATTTATACTTTACTTACTAAACACTTAATTACTTTCCGTATGAACTTCAAGTATTTTTAAATTTTACATTACATTGGGGTCGAGATTTTCGCGAAAAACAGTCGTGAGTCCCTATATTATTATTTTATGATATTTTAGCTAATATACACGACTGTCAACTTAATCCTCCTAGGTACACTTATTTAAATTTTAATATCTAATTTATCTCTAATATATAAAATCCTCGTGTCACGGTGTGCGTGGTTGAACTCCTCCGAAACGGCTCGACCGATTTATATGACATTTTGTGTGCATATCGGGTAGGTCTGAGAATCGGCATACTTTATGCTCACGCCCAGCCACTGTCATACCACTCAGACGCTATTGAGATGCCATCGAGTGGCCATTGGCATCATTATAAATATCGGTAGTCTATACTAACTAAACAACAACAAAAACAGCAACGATAATTCTAATTATTATTGGTGTATTATGTCGTTGTAGTTTTTACATTTTTATCAATAAATATGATAAATCCATAACAACTTTATGGACCAATATTAAAAAATAATATATTTTCAAATTATAAGGAAATGATTTATTTATTTTTTCCAAATATGGCAATCTTTTTGATATTACCACTGATGAGCCACTGCCATTCTATCGCCACTGTAAAGACACTGAGTTAGTGTAGAGTAGGTACCTACCGATATTTATACCGATGCCAATGACCACTCGATGGCATCTCAAAAGGGTGTCAGTGGTATGACAGTGGCTTGGCGTGAACATAAAATAGAAGAATTGAGGCCCAGTATAACTTGAACTGTCATTGTATAGACTTTATACCATGACAGATCAAAATGTATATTGGACAGCAAACATGAAGCCGTTTTTACATAAATTTTAAGTAAAACACTTTTTCTACATATGAATTGTTCCAAAAAGGTTGAAATAAAACATATTTATTTAATTAGGAATACAAAGAATTTTCTTCACCTAAATATATGTAGATACATAATAACTAATACATCTTTATTGAAAAAAAAGTAAAAATAAAGCATAAACTATATAGTTGGCAATGACCCATGAGAAAGTTCGACTTTGTTTCCAAGATACAATTTCCTCATTCACGTTCGGTGCCTTGCTACGTGCGGTTGTGATGTTGGTTTGCTTTTTCTTTTTACAAATGTTTAATTTTGAATACTCAATGCGAATTATCAAAGTTTAGAGTATTTATCGGTACCTCTCTTACTATCTTGTGAGTTTACCCATATAACGCAGCGGCCATATTTGAAGGCAGTATTTGTGTCTCAGTCATATGAGGACTTGAACTTACCTGGTTGGCGAATACAACGTGAGTAAACCACACAAAGTAAATTACACAAGGTCCGTCACGGGAGGGATTTGAACCCCCGGACACGCTGACACGGCTCGCGGATTTATACCTCCTGACCAGCGACAGATATTTGCAGCGCGGCAAAATTGGCGACCACTTCGTACCAGAGTGCCCTAGTGACCGCTACCACGATATCTTACGATAAGTTAGCGACACTTTCGTTTTGGATACTTGTACAGTGGTGAAGGATGAGTGGCCCTCCAACTAAGACTAATTCTAACCCTGATCTGCGAGTGAAAATGTCTGAGACCGATGCTGGAGTTACTTCACGGAAACGTAAACAGCCCGACTGTGCCTTGACAGAAATGATACACTCTGTGGCACGCGAACTAAAGGAGACATTGAAGTCATTCAAAACTGATGTTGATTCAAGCTTCGCGTCTATGAATATAAACTTTGCTGAAATCAAAAGCGACCTGGACTCACTCACAAAAAATACATCGGAAATTCGCAGTGAATTGTCTACCTTACGCACTGATCAAGAAACCCTTAAAAAACGATTATCTGTTCTGGAAAACAATGACAGCGATTGTACACAGCGCCTTACCACCCTAGAAGGTTCGTTACAATATACTTCTGACCAGTGTGGGGACCTTGCGAGGAGGATTGATGTTCTGGAGTCTTGCAGTTCTTCTACCAGCAACTCTGTGGATCTCATACAACAACTGGAAGGAAAAATCGATACGTTGGAGCAACAAGCGAGATCCTGCAACATAGAGATTGCCAATGTCCCGGAGAGGCGCGGGGAGAATCTCATCACTCTTTTAGAGGTGATGGGGGATAAAATTAAGTTTCCCATTCGACAAACGAATATTGTTTCTGTGCACAGAGTACCCCAAAAACACATTAATAAAGAAAAACCAAAGAATATAGTGGTGAGATTCTCTTCTATGCTTTTTCGAGATAATGTTTTGAGTGCTTACCGTCTTGCTGGGGGCCTAAAGTCTGATCAGCTTGGTATATCGGGAACTTCCCACACTATTTATTTAAATGAACATCTGACTTTAAAAAATAAATTGTTCTTTCGTGAGTGCCGTCTTGAAGCGAAGAAACATACTTTTAAGCATTGCTGGGTCAAACATTCGAGTATCCTTGCTCGGCGCACTGATACATCAATTGTATTTGCAATTCGAAATAAAAATGATTTCTCTAAATTTAAAATCAGTGATGGTAAGGTGCCAAATTAACTATAGTTTAAAGTGTTACATTAACATTTTTCTTAAGCACGCATTATTATGTAGATTTTTATATTTTATTAAAATTACTATGGAGATATATAAATTAGTTACCATTATACTTATTATGGAATTTCTTACCGCCTGGAGGCCTGTGGTGGCGTCTGTTTGGATAGTTACAATCTTTAATCACAGTAGTATTCTTTTTATAATGGCTTCCATATTTCCCTATGACTGATGCACTTAATATTTACTATCAGAATTGCCGGGGCATCCGTGGCAAGCTCCAGACAGTCTACATGAGTGTTCTATGTAATACTTATGATGTAATCGTTTTGACTGAGACATGGCTAACCTCTAACATAGGCGATAACGAATTTATTGACCAACGTTATAACGTTTTTCGTTGCGATAGAGATCGATTGGCCACCGATAAACGGGAGGGCGGTGGTGTTCTTGTTGCTGTCTTGCGAACACTTCACCCGACGTTAATAAACCTTACGTGTACTGAATTAAACGCCCACATTGAACACTTGCTCATACAGATACCCAGCAGCGACCGTTCTAAACGCCATATTATAAGCGCTGTATACATACCCCCTAGAACACCTGTAGATATTTATAATTCATACTTTGATGTGCTGTCTATAGTGCTAAATAGTCCTTCCACACAATTTTTTTATACAATGGGTGATTTTAATTTACCTAATATTAATTGGTCACTTAGTAGCACTGTTGACTTGGGCTGTGTAGAGGGTTCATCTGTCAGTCAGTCTTTATTTAATTTTATTTCTGAATTGAACGCAGAACAATATAATAAAGTACCTAATATAAGCAACAGAACACTCGACTTATTAATCTCAAATGATAACTGTAGTTTGTCTCAAGCAGCCGACTGTTTAGTCCCTATAGATTCCTATCACCCTCCTTTCACTGCTATGATTTTTCCTTACTTGAAATTCTCTCATATGCAACGTTGCCCGATTATTAAATTAAATTATAAAAAAGCCGATTACGATTCGATCAAAAATGAATTATCTGTGATAAACTGGAATGACATCCTCAGTAATTTAAAGGCTCAAGAAGCTATAAATACATTCTACGACTATCTTTTTGGTGTTATCAAGCAACATGTACCTCGAATTAACTGTAAAAACTCTACTTTTCCTACTTGGTTCAGTCAACCCCTTATTAAATTATTTAAAAGCAAATCTCGAACATGGATCAAATGGAAAAAGTATCAAAATCTCTCTGACTACGAGCAATTTTCCCTATATCGCCGTCGCTTCCGTAAGGAATGCGCTCTGTGCTATGCTAACTATCTTGATAATGTTGAACAAAGTATCCATCTGAACCCTAAATATTTCTGGAGTTGCATTGCTAATAAGCAGAACAATTCGGGAATTCCTCATAACATGTGTTATAATAATATTTCTAGTAGTGACCCTCATGAAATATGTCAGCTTTTCTGTCAATATTTTAAATCTGTCTATGAACCATCAGCATTGGATTTAGATATGTGGGTCCCACCACTGGATTATAATGTTAACTGTGAAATAATCTCTGATATCGATTTTGATGCCTCCAAGGTTCGTGAGGAGCTGAAGTTATTGGATCCGACAAAGGGACCAGGTCCTGATGGACTACCAGCATCGTTTCTAAAAAATGTTGCTGATCATATTTATTTACCAATTCATCTATTATTCCGCAAGTGTCTAAAGGAGGGCCAATTACCAGCTATCTGGAAAGAGGCAAACTTGACACCGGTTTTCAAGAAAGGATGTAAGAATGTCGTAGAGAATTATCGCCCAATCTCTATCTTGTCCGCTCTGTCGAAGCTTTTTGAAAGATTGATTCACAACGAAATTTATCCAGTCTTGCATAAGATCATTATCAAACAGCAACATGGCTTTGTTAAAAAAAGATCAACAGCTACCAATCTAGTTAATTTTGTAAGCTACCTTTTTGAAAATATGGACAATCGTTGTCAAACTGACGCAGTGTATACTGACTTCCAAAAGGCATTCGATAAGGTGGACCATGAGCTGCTATTAAACAAAATAGCTTTTAATGGCATTCGTGGAGATCTTTTAAGATGGTTTATTTCCTATGTAACCAACCGTACACAAAAAGTAGTTATTAATGGATTTCATTCTGACCAAATTTTCGTAACATCTGGAGTTCCTCAGGGCTCTATTTTGGGTCCTTTATTATTTGTTCTATTTATTAACGATATTGACACTTGTTTCTTTCATTCTAAATTTTTGTTATACGCAGATGACCTCAAAATCTATAAAACTATCAATGATCTTAATGACTGCCAGCTTTTCCAAAGTGATTTAAATCGGCTGGCAAAATATTGTAGTGAAAATAAACTTTTCCTAAGCTTGCCTAAATGTAATGCTATATCCTTCACAAAAAATAAAAAGGTATTCAACTGCACTTATGTCTTAAATGACCAACCTTTGATTAAAGTATCTTCGCTTAGAGACCTTGGTGTTGTTATAGATTCTAAATTGCATTTTGACATTCATATCGAAAATATCATTAAGGCTGCATATAGAATGCTCGGATTTGTTATACGGAACACTAAAGAATTTAAAAACCCAAATACTTGTAGATACCTTTATATAACGCTAGTAAGATCTTGTCTCGAGTTTGCTACCATGGTCTGGAATCCGTTTTACAATAAATACATCGGGGCATTGGAAAATGTCCAAAAAAAATTCTTGCGGACGCTTCATTACAGATGTTGCCATGGCTATCAGGCATATGATTGTCTACTCCTGAAATACAATTTGTCTACCTTGGAAAGCAGGAGACTCCTTCTTGGAACTATGTTCTTACATGGCATTGTTCATAACAAGTATGACTGTCTGGAATTATCAAATAGATTATGTTACATCGTTCCCAGAACAGTCATGCGAAGGCAGGTTCGCTCACATCGTCTCTTAGCGATTACGCCTTACCAGGTCCCTAAAACAAATGCAGGCTTAAGAACACCTCTGCGACGGCTTGTAGACAATTACAATACCTATTTTAACAGTACGGATATCTTCATGCATTCAGCAATCAAATATAAAAAAATTGTACTAGAGTGCTTGAATGATATGACTGCTTCCGGGTTGGTTTCTGAATTTCCGTAATTATTTACCATTTTAATTTAATATATGTCTAGTTTAGTCATACATCGTGTGTCTACATTTTTGTTGTGCAAATACAAGTTGTAATAATTTATATGTACAAAAAATATTATATAAAATTATATTATAAATATTATCACGTAGCATGCTCCATTTTATTATAACATTGTGTATAGTAAAAAGTGGATAATGCTGTTGGTAGTACAATTAGCACATTTGTACCTAAAATTAATATTAATTATTATTGAATATTGTACTATTGTTTGTTATCCCTAATAAATAAATAAATAAATTAATCTAGCCAATTATCGTTCTTTTTTTTTTAAGACATTAGGAAAATATCCTTTGTCGCGGGGGACTTTACAAACATACATATAACGGACACAAAGAACACCCAGACTCAGAACAACAATTTGTGGATCACACAAAGTGTCGTCCCATGTGGGGTTTGAAACCACAACACTCAGCGTAGTAGTAAGCGGCGTGGCGATCGCTTAAACCACTACGCCATCCGTGCAGTCGATTACCGTCACACAGTATTATCCATATACCATATATATATAGGATTAAAAAAAAATCGCTTTTGCCCTTGGCTCAGATCGCGTGTATGTTGGTTATCGCCGTAAAAAGTCAAGCCCATCTCTTTCTTTCAGGAATCAAAGTCTCATTGTCAAATTTCATTAGAATCGGTTCAGCGGTTATTCATTTTCCATACAAACTTCCACTCCCCTTTTCACAACTTTAAAAGGTGATTTCTGGTATAAAAACTATCCTATGTACTTTCCCGGGACTCAAACTATAGGTATTTCAAATTTCATCTAAATCGGTTCAGCGGTTTGAGCATGAAGAGGTAACAGACAGACAGACACATTTTCGCATTTATAATATTTACGATTTTCTATTATAAAACGGACTTTATATTTTGTCTCGGTGGTATAATAAAAACTCTAGCCTTCTCAATTTTATCGTCATATTTCTTACAATATACTCGTTATTTCATTGAATTGTTCTACTCACCTCGTACGTCTCTTCGCCCGTCCTTATAAAAGGTCTTTCCGTGCTTTGTTTATTCAGGAAGAAAGCCAACTGCAAAATATTAAACTATAGTATTGTCCAATAATAAGTTGTCCTCAATAGCTTTCTATATCGTGTAGAACTGGGTTCCTAAAGTATTTTTGGCAAGAGACCTCTTTTCTAAAATGAACTGCTACCCAAAACCCCCATAGCTAAATTACTGCACGATTATCGACTTCTTGAGTTTTTCAAAAGTACAACAATGATACTTCCTACTAAAATATTAGTCATTCTTATAAAAGTTGGTTAATGTAACACAACTAATACAGTATCTGAAAGTTTCAAATAAGAACTTGTGTCAACCCTTAATATCAGTTTTTGTTTA